ATTTATATTTTATTAAGAAAATCTGAAACCTAACCGCCGAACTGTCTATCATATGAAAATATAAAAATATTACTGTGTTCTTATCGTTCGAATCTATGTATTTTTTTCAAAACACGATTTCAGTGCTTTTGAATAAAGTGATTCAAACGAATTCGGATTATTTAAAAACTATTTTGAATACAGGATTCGGAATACTGCCCAAGTGATGATTGGCATATCGAGACAAAACAATACGACAGTGATGCGTTTAAATTGCAGGTTAGCGAGTGTGGTACACTGACACTCTTTTGGCTGTGATTTAATTTCATTAATAATAACGATGGTGGGCCATAGATTTCTGGCTTTCAAACTTTTAATGACACGAAAACCGTTGTTTTGAGCGTGACGCAGAAATAGAAAATAAACAATATGTGCGCACGAAATAATTGACGAACCGTAAAATCGAATTCATCAGTCATTTGAGTAATTTCAAATCAGTCAGACTGTCAATTCTAGGGTAAACTAAATTAATTACTATTGGACTCGCGTGTAGCGAATCGTACAAATTGACCGAACTTTTCCACCTATGCGTGTCAAATAAAAAGCATAAAAAATAATCAAAACATGCTGTTGCCGATCGATCTCGAAACGATTATATAATATCCGCTTATTGTTTTTTTTTTACAAAAAAAATATTTATCACCCGAATTTTTTTTTTATACATGTTATGTTATAAACCAACACAAAACTATGTTGATCGATTAGTTATTAAATTTGATTTTTTTTATTACTATTATTATTATTTACTGCGTTGTATCGCTGTTTGAGCCCTCTTGGCGATAACATGATTATTGCTTGATACTCGACTCACGTAGTATTATAGGCAAATCCCTAGAAAATACAATATTTCAGCGATCGTGTTTGTATAACAACGATTTATAAAATGCACTAAAAACTGCCCCGTATAAATTTACTCGTATGTCATCGATTATAGAATATAATATATTATTGGAAATTCGTCATCAATTATCCGTTGAGAAAGGCAATAACTTTTGTTATTATTATATGATATGATATTTAGATAATATAATGAGAAAATAATATAATGAGAATATAATAATGCATAATAATTGTTATAGATTATATTTATTATATACGAGTAGCTATCAAACTATAACATTATAAAATAATACTATTTGCAGTAAGTTCTTTTAATGCTTAAGAAAGAAGGAAAGATAAGGGGAATAATTATTTAGTTTAATTATGATATAAAACTTGAAAGAGTGTCGGCGATTTCGTGTTTCATGTGTGAGTTTTAAATTTTGATGGCCACCTTGTAAACTTAATATCATTTGAAGTTAGCAGACGATCCTTGGTGCAGAGATTTGATAAGACTATTGTGGTATTTGCAGCATTTGTTAGTGGGATGGTTTCACCGCATGTAACGCTTTTAGGTTCGTCGAGGTGGCAATTATTTCGTATGTGTCCGTCGAATTCACATTTGTGACATTGTTAAGGACAATATCTCTTCTGATGTGGGTTTTCAATTAATATTTTAGTAATCAGTAGCGGCGTGATATTGAGGATTTCCTTGTTATTAAAATCATGTTAAATTATCCATAAAGAGGACATTTATTTTAATTTTTGGCGTTGTATATGTGTTTAACTAAGTGTTCCATCCGAACTAGAGTACAAGTCATTGTATAATATGGAAAAGTGTAGGTTTCTAATGACGATCGAGTATTTGTGATTGTGACAAGAGGTACATAAATGAAAACTGGCGTTAGTTTCATGTAACTAATCAATCATTTTATAAAAATGTAGACGATGTACAGGTTATATGATGAAGTGTAACAACAATGACCTCAGGAGCGGACGTAGAAAAAAATTTCGGGGGAGGTTTTGAAAAAATAAGAATAATTACCATCAAGTATTTAAAAATTTGGCACCCCCGGGCATATTATTTATGCGCCCCTCCTCCCGAAAAAAATAAATAATAATAATAAAACACTTATTATTTCGTCTATAATCGAGATTCTTTAATATTAAAATATAACTTATAAATGAAAATTGTTTAATACTTTTTTTAATTAACAAATTAAACAAATTATAACATAATAAAACATACTATTTTCTTTTTTTTTTTCATTAGGTACATCATTTTTAAAATTAATTTTGCTAAAATATTTTGCCGCCCCTGAGACTTGACACCCCCGGACATGTGCCTACCCGTTCCCCCTTTAAATACGCCTGATTACCGTTATTTTGAAATAATTGATTATTGACTATAGATTGACTTTTGTTGATTATTATCACATGACCATACAACACAAAATTTAGGGAAACCGTCAATCATAATGTACCATAGTAAATAATATATCGATTATGTATATTTACTTATTTTACTTACTGATAATAAGCGACTTACAAACACGCATTATTTATACGAAGTATTGCCATCAACGAATTTCAAAAATTTAATTTTTAAGTATCAATACCTTTTAGAACGTTTGGAAAATTACAAATTATTACAAATTCACTTTTTTTAACAAAACATTTATTTTCTAACATATTTTAATCGTATTTTGGACAATTTATTTTTTTAAGGTACATAAGGTATAACTATGTTTGAAATTAATCATCCATTCATTTCGGGGGAGGGAGGGGTAAATCCCCAAAACCCCACCCTGCGTCCGTCACTGATTGAACTATAGATAAAGCCATTCGAGTTGGTAATGTTAGTTAAGACCGTATTCAACGCTGAGTAATTTGAAAAGTATTTGATGAAGATGGGTGGAGCTGGTAGCTCAATTTCGTGATCTGTTTGAGGTGAGCTCACAAGATTATCATTGAAGTTGGTTTAGGGCAATGTAGTTTTTATATCCTTTGTGTCATTAATGAAGAAAAAGGTTTTTGTAAAACGTAAGCTTTGGATTTTTTGTCATTTTGACTGGACGACATTGATGAAGTTTATTTAAAAAATAAAAATTTGTTTTCATAGATTTTGTTGTAAATAGCAAAACGAGGCAGTTTTTTGAACTGTGTTTAACATAATGACGTTTTTAATTGAAACTGATAGATAATATTAACCATGTTAATTATTAATGAGCGCGCACAGCGATAACGGAGCGAAAACAGTACAGAACAATCTACATCAACGGTTCCCAACCTGGGGGTGATTACCCCCCAAGGATAAAGATTAAACCATTTATTTTAATTTTAAGAACTTATTATCTATTTAGTCATGTGTACTATGACTCTATATCAGGGGCGGCCAAACGGTGGATCGCGATCGACTGGTCGATCGCTGACGATTTCAGAGCCAATCTTGTTAGAATTTATTTTTAGGCCACATGCAAGAAAATTAATCGTGGTGGTTATGAATAAATTATCGATAAATTTTATCTATATAGTTTTTATCTTTTATTCTGGTTTATAAAAAAATTTTTCAAGAAAGTCGATCTTCAAAGATGAAGTATATTTTTAGTAAATCATGGCCGAAAAAAGTTTGGCTGCCTCTGCTCCATAAGTAATTGTATTAATATAATATAGTTTTGGGGAATACCTTATCGTATGTCCTAATGACACTGATAATATTATTAACTTCAAATTATACTTCTAATATTACATTATCTTGAATTTCTTGGAATTTTTTTTGTTGTATAATTCTCTACACATTATATATTCTATTAATATAAAATTATATCGATATTTAATTTAATGGTTTTAAGCTTTTAACCATCAGTCAGTCGTTCGCCATTTATTTATTAGTATACTTATATGTGCCGTTCACTACTTATCGGTTCTTATAATTTTCCGTTGAATCAGTAATCATGTCATAGGGAAGAAAACGGTCATACAAAGAAGCTTTTCTACGATGGGGTTTTACTAAGTTTGTTGATAAAAGTGTTGAGTAGTCAAATGTGTTCTGTGAAACAAAGTGCTCACAACAGAAAGTATGAAACCAAGCAAATTAAAAGAACATTTTGAGAGATACATGAAAAATACTTGATAAAAGAAGATACCTATAAATTATGATTATTTCAAAAATAAATAAAATTAAATATAATAAAAATTAAAATATAAGCATTTTTTAAAGTATGAAACAAAAAATATATATATTTTGAACAATATATTATTAATAAACAATAATCAGAAAAAAAATACAAAAAACTACATTTATTACAAATTTAATCAGATTTTATTTTTATATTATACTCTATATTTGTTAAGAACAAGTCAACGCTCAATTCTCTCCTAGTAAATTGTTTACATAATGTTATTAGAAGGATTTGCAATATATGCCCTTTATGTGGTCACTTATAAGTTGATTGCCCGATTTCACTCATTATTAATTTCACTTTATCAGCAACCACTTCATTTTTCATATTTTTCAATAATTTCCAAATTGGTGAATATTTATGCCCAACCAAAATTCTAAACCTATTATTTCACCCCTCATACACGTTGTTGATTCTTTTACTATCCAGTATGGTACTTTGGTGTATATTCTACATTGAAGGCGGGAATTGAGGAGGAAGTCGACAAAACCGAATACTTAAATCATCATCAGTTCCTATTCTATTTGTTATTTTATAAACGCGTATAATTGTTTGTTTAAATAAGTACGGTATAAACAACTCATGTCTATTAGATAAAGTAATAATATAATTTTTATAACGTTTATATCGTAAATTGCCGTTTGAAATTAACGGGGATTTTTTTCCGGGGACTTTTTTTCTTGGGACTATCTTTCCGTTTACCGTTCAAAGATACATTTATCTATTCCTGCTTTTAAGTAATTTTTATTAATCGCGTAATGATCCTTTAGCATAAATATATATTTTGTTTTTCTCTATCCTGACTATATGCCATTTTTATAATTATGTATTTCTGTGTTAATTCGTGATAACTATTTCCCATATACAGAATTGTTAATTTACTTATGCGACTAACATTGTCTTTCATAACGAATAAGCCCCATAAACGACGTTAATGTTATTTTAAACAACAGTGTAATATCAGTTTAAATATCATACTCTTTTAACTATAATAAAATGCATAAACTACAATTTACATAGAAGAAAACAAAATGCTATCGTTATTATTATAATAATTTATAAAAATGTATGTAATATTCTATGATTCACTACAATTAATTTTTGGTAACAAAATCACGCAGGATATTGAGTTATTTCTGCTACAAACGTCCTTATCTGCATCGGCGTCAACATAATGTGTTTGGGGTCGAGTACTAACTTAATGTTTGTTTCTGTTTGAGTCGGTCGATCTCTGTCTGTTGAACGGTTATTCTCTGTCATCCAAGTTAATTTACTATTCTCCGATAACCATTGATTACCGCCCAATATGGTCTCCTTTAATGAAACTATACGGAATTTCGTGAACAAATCCTAAAAAAATTATTACGAATATAAATTTCAATTAAACACATGCTCGCAGAGTCTAAATATTATATTAACATGTTGAATAAACGTGTTCAATATAACTTATCAAAATTTAAAATCTTTGAAGTGCGTTATATGCATTGTTTATTATGCTACTGGAAGTTTTTTAAATGTGAAAACTTAATTTATAGGTATATCTGATTAACAATTAAAAAATAACACACATTTTTTTTTTTTAAGTAAAACAATAATAAAATAATTCGAAGTATTAGTGTTAATAATATTTATGTTTTACGTAAATAGAAGTTTTTGTTTTACACGCAGCGTAGAACATGATTTTAATAAACTAATGAAAATAAATATTTCATTTATGTACTGTGAAACAGTTTGGTAAATATTTTGTAGAAAATTAAATGTTCATAAAGGATTATATCCACCTAAGTTTTTAGTGTTTCATTTCTTGTATTCAAAAAGGATTAGCTGGACAAAATAAATTCTACAATATTTTTAAACAAACCTATAAAAAAAAAAATCTTTAAAAAAATTTTATTCCATAAACGAACGAAAATAACTGTTCAAAATTATGAAAACCCGTAATTTTATAATTTATACAGAATATCATTCGAAATTCTTTGACGCGTTTATTTATTTAATATTAGTATAACATTAATATCGCTTATTTATTCTATATTTTTATTATTTCATTTATCGTGGAAAAACACATAATATACAACTAAAGATATGTAATGATAAAAAAATTATAATTACCTATTCTAACAGTGACAAATAAACAATTTAATAGTTTTGATAGTAAAATAGTAATCATAAAAATGAGAAATTATGACTCTTTGTTGGCAAAAATCATCATCCTACAAACTAGCTCAATATTTAAGTTATTCGTAATATAAAATGTAATTGAAAAGGAATAAAAACGGTGAAGGTTTGCGAGTTAATAACTCTAGAACAGCATTTCCCAATCTACGGGGGGTCGCGACCTAACATTGGGTAGCAAAATATTTTTATTGGACCGCTGTTCGTAAACTAATGACAAGACAATATCCTAGTTATCAAAATATAATTATATGTATTGAAATTCAGTTTTTGCAAAAATTAGTTAAAGTATATAATAAAATTCCTTATAATAAAATTATTTATTTATTTTTGGTATTCAACCCTTAGGGTTAGTTTTGCAATTGAATATTTGCTCTCCACTCTTCTATGTTCTCAGCTAACCTTTTCAGTTCAGTGTAATTTGTTAGTCCAGCCTCAGAGATCATTTGTTTGACAAATGAAGTCCTCGGACGTCTTCTGTCACTTTTACCTTCAATTATCCATTCTATTATTCAATGGGTTAGTTCATTTTCGTGTCTCAATATATGAGCCATCATGTTCCATCGTCTTGTTCTAATGGCTTTGAGTATCTATCTTCGTTCATCTATTTCACTGAGTATTTTTTCATTAGTACGGTGTTCTATCCAACTGACTCTCAACATCCTTCTACAACACCACATTTCGAAGCTTTTGAATGTTCATTGTTCCGCCTTATTAATATCCATGTTTCGCAACCATAGAGGGCCACACTCCATACATATACTTTTATGAAATGTTTTCTCATCTTAATACTCATGTTATTGGAGCATAACAGTTTTTCTTTTTCATAAATGCTGACTTTGCCTGTGCGATTTCGGACTTATTTCTATGATCCATCATCCGTCTTGGCTGATTATACTCCCTAGGTATTTATAATGTTCTACTTGTTCAAGCAGCTTGTTCCCTGTTTGGATATTTATTCTATGGATTCGTTTTTCTTTTTGGCACATCATGACTTTAGTTTCTTGCCAGTTAATAATCAAATGATATTTTTGGAAGTATTTCATCATTTCTTCCAGTGCTTTTTCCAAATCATGCTCTTTATTTGTTAGTAGTATAATATCGTCAGCGAATTTTAAGAAGTATATCATTTCGCCGCCTACTTTTATGCCTATATTATTTTTGTACAGTTTTTCTCTTATTTATTTAATATGCTGTTCAATATAGATATTAAATAGAATTGGTGAGAGTGGACAATATGTCTTACAACCGCTTATCGCTGTCTTTTTTTTGCCCGTTACTTTTATTGTAGCTAATTGATCTTTGTAAAATGTATATAAATTATTCTTCTATTTCTTAAGTCAGCTTTTATTCCTTATAAATTATAGAATAGTCAAATAGGATCAAATAGGATTACTGTATCGGAAAACATTTAAATATTTTATTTCCCACCGTAACTACACGGTGTTTCAAAAGTCTTCATCCGATTACGAACTGATATAGTTCGGCAACAGTTAATCGCAGATTAATGACCGATGTATTAATGGAAAGATTATATAACTAAGTTTATTTTAAGTTATTTAGTTGATAAATTTGGCACCGTAATGGTTAGTGAACTAGGAACCGTTAGTTTGTTTCGTTATGACGACTCCACAACAGAAAGCGTTTTACGTCCTACGTTTCAATAAGTGCGAGTCGGCATTAACCATTCAACGTGATTTTCGAAGAACTTAGGGAACTGAAGCTCCTACTACTCAAAGGATTCGACGTTGGCACTAAACGTTCCAAGAAAGTGGTTGTCTGTGTGCACAGAAACGCTCAGGTCGACCTCGTTTCTCTGACGGAAACATCGAGCATGTTCGACAGTTTTGTTCGAAGTTCATCCCTGGTCATCACGTTTCCCTGACCTCACAGTGTGTGATTTTTTTTTATGGGGCTACATAAAAGATAAAGTGTATGTACCACCATTACCTACAACCTTGGAAGAGCTTAAAATTAGAATCAAAGATGCAGTTCATGCCGCGATATCAGATATGATCAGCAACGTTTGGGAAGAATTTGATTACCGTATAGATGTGTGTCGGGCAGCCGGTGGGGGTCATATTAAACATTTGTAACCAAATTAAATAAAACTTGACTATTTTAAGAATATATTTTACTTTATTTTACCCTTATATCTTCATTTTTAATATAAATATAAATTTTTGAAATTGGATGAAGACTTTTGATACACCGTGTATTTGATTGTTTATTTTTTGGACTTGTAAAATTTTTTCGAAATTGTTTTTAATCTTAAGTATTATTATAAATAAATTTAAGCTCAAAGTATTGTTGCTATTTGAAAATTGTTGATTTTCCAGTTAGCAACGTCTATTTTTATTGAATTCGAACTTTCGAAAGTTTCAATTTCTATCAGAATCTCCCTTTTTTGTCTAAAAAATACATCTAGAGGACTCGTTTCTTAACGGAGAGGGTTGATACTACTATAATAAGAAAGGGAACCGCCGTGGACACGTTTCTTGAAAAAAATGAAAGACTTAGATAGATAAGATAAGAGTGGTGGCTAAATAACTTTGGAAGTTCTTTGATTTACTTCGTTAATTTTTCGTCATGGTTTAAGTTTGTTATCCTTAGTCCGATATTCTTGAATCCTTCACAGGTGCGTACTGCTTTGTAAGACGAATCTTTTGGTACCTTGAGCGTAATAAGCTATCAATTTTTATGCGGTGGAAAGAGTTAACGCGGGAGCTCGAAAAACAGGTGCATTAGCAATGAATGTTCGAATATAATAAAATACATATAATAAATCGATAATAATAAATAATCAAATACAATATAATACAATTTTTAGTTATGTTATTATTTTAACATATACTAAGTTTTTATTTTATTTTTATTTTTGGGTGGATCATCCAATGCAAAAGAAATTTATGTATCACCTAAACATAAAGGTTAGGAAATACTATACTAGAACATCTATACCAGATTTATTATTTTGACAGGCGGTTGTAAATTCCACCCGAAGTGAACAGATAAAAATAAGGTCTATGGTGAATTCCACCCCGAAAAATATAAAGGTACAAAATTTAATATCAAAATTCCGCCTGTCCGGAAAAAAAATTTTTTTAGGGCCCGAGATGGTTTTAGATTACTTTTAAGTTTTTTTTAATAAGTTCTAAACTAAATTACCTAAGATTAACACAATCTCAGATTATTTATCATATATTTATAATAGTAATGACGCAATTTGTCCTCCAAATATATGAGCTGCTGCTACAGCATATTTGAATAGAACTATTAATGTTTGGGAGTCATTTAATTTCCATTTTAATAAACGTTTTAACTATAATCATCCTCATATTTTTATATTTTTAGACTAATTAAACTAAATTTAATTGGAAAATTGGATAAAAATAAATAGTATAAATTAACCATATGAATATAGAAATTAAAAAAAAAAAAAAAATATGCAAAATATAATAAGAAAATAAAAAATGATATTTAATGACCTATTGATAACTAGCTGAATTACCCGTCGTTGCCGGGTTTAAGTATATAAATGTATGTAACCTGCCAAGATTAAATTTTGTTAAATCTATTGAAATTTAAATTAATTAAGATTTTTGAAATAATATTTTATACATATTAATTTAGTTTTTAAGATAATGATTATTATCATAACCTATTCGATAAGTTATAGCTTACAACTACCTGAACCTCTCTACAGTTTGGTATTCTGTTGAATACATATAGCATCTCACTTCTCCGAATATCTTACCTTTTGTCAATAAGTTCATGGTCTTTTTGACTTTTAACCGAAACACTCTTGCAATTATATCATGTCGATCATATGATCTTTGACCGGGAAGTAAGAGCTCTTTTATCTCGTCCCAGCGAAGATTACATGTAAAAGTAATAAAAAGGTCAGGACGACCGTAATGTCTAACGTAGGTCATAGCATCTTGTGTTCTTTCGTGCATGTACCTTGGCCCACCAGTAAAAGTTGACGGGAATATAATCATTTAGTCTAACTGATTATATTCTATGTCTCGTCGTCCAATCGCATCTTTTAAATGAATATAACTATCTGCACGCAATTTGACTTGGTTGTTTTTGATGTAATTTAGTCATTCAGTTTCAATTTTGGCGTATTCATCTACCAAATATTGACTGAAAAGAGAACGATAATTAACTAAATAGTTGTCTTCCCCTTCTCTGACCATTATTCTATATGAGTAAAAACTTGATGCAGAGACAGTTTTTTTAAGCGGTAACTTGGTTTTTGGATCGCGTTGTGGTATATTGATTGCATACCCATCATCCCCCAACAAAACATTAAAGGATACTGCAGTGCGTCGTATGCTCGATGTATCTCACTGATACGGTGAAGTGAGTTACTTCGGTTTTCGAGGATGATGTCTCTTCAATCAAACTGCTGATCTACTAACACTAAAGCAACTTCATTTGCCGTTGGTGCATTATACCTGCCTCTATGTTCTTCTGGTGGTTTTTTATCTGCATGTATTACAACTTTAAATGACTCTGAAGGAGGTATTTTATCGATGGTAAATTGTAATGATCAATTGTAAATTATGCGGTGGCATGCCTAGTAAATCCAATGAATACAGCAAACTGTATCTAGATTTGTATGACACCAAGTTTTCTGGTAACAAATTTTGTACCTTGAGATTCAATTCGTTGACCTCCACATTTTTTGCTACTAAAATTGCTCTTTCTGCCAGCCACTCATGATTTGTGTATTGTCTGTGTACACTGGGACATAACTGGTCAATGAGAGCATCTTGCAAATAAATGATTGTGCAGAAATCGTTCGGTAATTTTATACATCTTGTTTCATCTGTAGTAACTTTCCCATCTCCAATATCTAACAATTGTTTTGAGAATCTTTTGCACGCAGCTTTTTTTGATTGAATCGAAATCGAAGTATCGAAATCGTTCGCTATCTATCTTTATATATATTTCGACCATGAATTGTTGACAAAGCTTATGCATCGTAAAATAACTTAGTCCTGATCGCGTCTAATCATCAACCGATATGCATAATAATTTTTTGAACTAACATTCTTATTTGTTTTGGCACCTGTTGCGGGATCTTTTTGTTTAATATTTATGCAATACCCGTAATTTACTACATTAATTAAAAATAGTTTTTAATAGTTTTTTAATAATTTTTTAATAGCATAATAATAGCATTTTACCATAGCAATAAAGCTCAAATTGACTACGTTTTAGTTACAAATCATTTGTATTAGAAAAAGAAAAGGGCTATTTTTAGGGTTTTTCCAGCAATAATTCTAATTTTTCTCGCCGTAAAAACCATCCTTGAACTTCAACGAACATTTGAAAAAAAGATTTGGCAAAATTGGTCCAGGCGTTGTTGAGTTATGCGCTTACCAACACATTTTGCGATTCATTTTTATATTATAGATTATATAGAAAACATGGCTCATTTTGGAAATTTTGAAAAAAATTAATATACATATTAATGTACATGTGTTCATTAATTATAATTTTTTTCGGGTGGAATTAATCCTGGTTACATGTATTTTTTCCTACCTGCGTTTTTTTTTCGTGCAGAATTTATATGTGCTTTAAATAAATGTCTTAAATTATCATGCGTAATTTAACGAATTTAACGAATAATATGCTATAATATTAGTGATTCGCTTTAATAATATTTCAAAATAATTAAAAACTGAATCGTATGTGTTTAAATAATATAAATTAGATACATTGGTAGATTAATTGTAACTATAACTATATTGATCAATTGTAAATGAAAATATTAATGGAGTTTATTCGTTATTGATGGACTCATTATTTATAGAATATGTATTATTTTACCACATTATATCATAATATTTGTTAAATAACATATTATTTATGTTAGGATTTATTATGAACACATATACAGATATAGAAGTTCAGTTTATAATTTGAAGTTTAACATGGAAAAATCTTAGTCTTCTGTTAAAAGAAGAACAACTGTAAATTGTATACCAGTGAATATACTGAATATTATATAAAGAGGATAGCATAAACTTACCAATTGATTATAAAAACTAACCTGTATATCTATAACAACGGGTATGGATAAATCTTTATCTTCGTTATACTCGAATATGTGTTCAAATCTTAGTAGCACCGATCCATCTTTCCATGGTTCCATGGTAAGTAGCTGCACGTTCTTCGGTAAAGGAGTTTTCAAACCGGAATACTAAAAAAATAGTTGTTCACAAGTATAAAAAATCAAAAATAAATTAATAACAAATTATTTATGTCATACAATTGATTAAAATAAATTGTATTTTTTAATTCAAATAATTTACAAAGATTATAAAAGTTTTATAATTCCAATCCGTCTATTTACATTTTATCGGGTGAAAATTTACATTAATAAAATATATTAATTTCAATAATAATAATTAAAATTAATAATCAATGGTGATATAAATATTTAATATATATTTTATTTCATTTCATCTTTATGAATTGCATTATCTATTGAAATACACATGTTGATCATAATTATTTATTGTTTGTTCGATTTTAATAAAAAACTTTTACTTAATTTGTTATGGTTATTATTTAATGATAAATAAATAAATGGATAGAAATTAAAGATAGTTAGATGAATATTGTTGAAAAATTCAACATTTATATTTATTTCAGATTTTTTTTTTTTTTTAACACAGAACTTTATCATAATAAGAATTATTTGAGTGGTGATTTTTCGTCAGTCGGTCAAGAATATTGGCGTTGTTATTATTCATAATACAATGAATCATTCCTGAAAGAGGACTAGAAGTTTGTATGTTTTTAAATAATCATCAAAAATATAGCTAATTAATATAGAAAATTTGTTTTATAGCAATACAAGTTAAAGTAAAAAACACTGATCCCTCATATCCATTTATTACAGGTAAAACGCGAATAGAACGATTCGTCGGAGCCATTTCAATGTGGTTGTTTCGCCGTGGTCAAAAAATTGTTTATACACTCAAATATTATATGTTATATTATTATTATGATTATTGGATTTTCCTTATTTATCTTTTCTTAAAATATATCAGGTACACATCACTCATGACAAAAATATTTAATGTTCACGATGAAATTACATCGACGAAATTTTGACATAAACCAACGTTAACCATAATTAAGCCCGATTCACACTGGTACGACACATCACGACACATGACATCAAAAATTGTCTGTCGGACATATATAATCCACATACGACCGACAGACGCGTACTTAGGTAATTCACAACAAACAAAAATACAAACAGTACGAAGACAATTTTCGTTTATAGAAGTCAGCCGTTATCTGCAAAAATGTTTAAAACCTTTTCAATGACTGATTTGGCAATAATTGCAGTATTGCTTGATGAATCTTAAAAATATAAATCCAAAAATGCGTATATGGGTTCATGACATATTAAAAAAAAAAAAAAGTAGACGGAGAACACGTAACATTTATTTTTGTCTTTCAAGCCTCTTCTATTTTTTATAATTATTTTAGCTAATAAAAATAAAATAATTTTAAATTAATATCTAGTCCTAAGTATAAAATTAAATACCTAAAAGTGTTCAATAATAATATTAATAGTAATATTTTTATTTTATTGATAATTTATATTTTAGTTGCATAAAGTAATGTTTGATTCAACAAATCATATTTCTGACAGAATTCCAATAGAAATTTGTCGGTTGCCTATTCACATTAAACCAACAATGAGTGAACCGGCACAGACAATCACCGACGGACCGACAAAACATTCTTCTTGGGAATGGTCGGTCGGTCGTTTCGGTATGAATATCATCATGGAAATACATATTACAATATTTTGTCGTGTTGTGTCGTGTTTTGACATATCGTACCAGTGTGAATTGGGCTTTATTCGAATCGCCACCGTACGATTTGTACTCCGTGTATAAGAAAAAAGTCATAAATAGGAACATTTTTGGAAAATATTCTAATTTTAAGCAACAATAATTAAAATTTAAGAACGTCTAATGGAGTTTTGTATGATTTATGTATTCGAACATGCTGGGTGGGATGAAGTATAATACACAAACATAATTAAAAAAGGAATTAATTAGACATTGTTCATTATAAGTTGCATCATACGTTTTCATATAAACTATAATCACAAAACCTACTCTTAACTATCCAATGAACTTGGTTCGAAAAAATAGGTTAAAAATAATTATAAATAATTATTGTTGAAATATTCAGATCTCATTAATATTATTATAACAGTATAACATTTTTAATACAAATAGCAGTATACTTTGTGTTATTGTTAAAGTTTTAAAATCAAGAAAATATGTCTTTCCCGTAATTTTGGAATTATATTTATCAATATCCACTTGTATAGTGAAATAAGTCTACCGGAAAGTTTAATTTCGTATTGTCAGAAATAACATTATAAATCATTTTACACATATCCGGTCCTCTAATTGAAATATAATATTACGTTATAATAATCGAATATTGATTTTAGCTTGTTAATAACATACATTTCTTTGTGTGCAATAGTGCGTTTATCTAAAAGCGTTTTGAAAAAGCGAATATATCAAATATAAGGATCGAATTGCATGCGGTGATACGCATCCCATCCTCTGTGAATAATGCCGGTTTATTTATTAGTGGCATGAGCAATCTCCTCAGTCAAATGACGGTTTCACAGTGCGTATGACACACAATATCATTCTATTCGATAATTGAATTGAACAGTCAAAGCGTAATTGATAACAAAATAATAATAATAATAATAGAAATTTATGCGAATAATATAGTATGTTTTTCCAAAGAGTTGAGCTATCAGAAACTTATGGCATATTGATGTACCAACTGACCCGGTTTCTATTTTGACATATGTGCTTCATTCATTGGAAGAAGAAAAGAATCGAAACGGAGCAGTGGATATATTGCCATGATAGGCGAGATGACACTGAAAATATCATGGTCAGAGATGTTTGATATGGGAATGGCGGAGAAGGAAAGCAGAGATCAAGATTGGTAAACGAATAGCAGCGGATAACATCATTGAACTAATGTTAAGAAAAGAAGAGGACCGGAGAACCTTGGCCGAATTCATTACTCACATCATAGCTGAAAAGGAGCGCCATGGGAGGAAAATGCAAAACAAAACTCATAGTTAAGAAATTATTGTCAGTCAACGACCAAAACAGTAGGATAGAGCCTCCAATAAATTTTACCACAATATGGTACAACAATATTATTGTTGCATTAGAAAACCCTGTAAATTTGATTGTGTAATTGTAACAATAAACTATGTACAAAAGGGGAGGCAGTAATGTGTGAAATCTATCTCCCCTGTGAACGATAATAAAAAAAAAAAAGTTTACTTGTAGTAAATTCGTTTTCTTCAGATCATCGTGGGACGTGACGCTTTGTTTCCTCGTGTAGAAATATTGCGGTCTGATGAGCTTCCTCTGCGCCAACAGTCTTTCGACCGCAAACTGTTTGTTGACCGGTCCCATAGTTAAATAATGTTGCCCTCTGGCCACCAGGCCCATGCCGAAAGCGGTTTCGTTTAATGCTTCGTCGACACCGAATGCGTCGTCAAAAAATAATCTTCTATGCACCTGAGAACAGCATAACATCATATGAGCGTCAAGACATACGGAGTTATACCGATGATATGTAGCGAACGCATGAAAAAATTCGGGGAGGGGGGTTAAGAATATGTAAGATTTTGATAAATAGCATACTTTATTATTCGTTTTATAATAAATATTTTTATATATTTTATTTGCAAGTCTTACGAAAAATTTTGAAACAACTATTAATTTTGTAGTTTAGGTCTTTTTTTTATAAAATTTTTTCTCATATTTCTGGGGGGACTCGAACCCTAATCCACTCCCGTGCATTTTCTTTTAGATGTAATGTCATCGATTTTACGGATAAATGTACCATAAGTTCGATTTGTCCATTCTGAAGACTGGTGCCTCCTTGAGACCGGTCATTGAGAACGGAGAACCTCGTCCGGTTGTCGGTTAACGTTATGCGAGAAGTGATCGGATAATAGTTTCCCGATACGTTCTCCAAATTATCTTTTAACGAGAACGAGGGCCTATAGTTCAACACGCGTTTCAACATCTCCCGTCCGTTCGAGTCCGTGTAAAACGTTTGGTTATTCTGGTAAAACGGAATGTGAAAACGTGTTATCACCTCCTTGCCGATCGAGCTGGGTGGAAAAAAAAAAGAAAAAAAAGCACATTATCAAACCTATCGCGTGGAAACAAACGGTAAAGTTATGTCAATACTCGTCCGGTATAGGTCCCACGAGCCATTCGAATTCAATGTGATCTTCATCGGCGTACTTTCTCACTACCTGGCTCACCCATTCATTGCACTCCTGATGGATTTCTTGCACCACGGGTCCCGAAATTGGGCAATCCATTAATATCGTGTATCGTACGCCAAACCGGTCTTGTCGATCCAACCCGAAAAAACGTTTAGGCTTCTTCTGCGCATCGCAAACCGGAACGGGGTCGCCGTCTGGTCGGAATATGTACGCCCCTGACGCTCGCCGGTTGTCTCGTTTGTTATCGCCTTCCATGCTCTTGTAGTAAAGAAATTCCTGGACCAACGGGTACTCCTCGCCGTCGGCGTACAGCACGAAACGTCTCGAGTCTTTATCGTCGAGTTTCAAACCCAAACGCTGAAAACCGCACGTGCGCAGTGACGAAACGAAAAACGTGTAAAAAAAAATAAAATATTATAACTATAACGAACAAAAATATCCCGCTCGCAAGACTACGGTTGAGTTGAAGAGCACACGACGCCGACATCTCAGTCCACCGACAAATAACTCGTCTGAATATCGTCTCGAAAACTTTTCCATTTCGCCAACATTCTCGTTCGTCGATGATTGTACCGGTTTCGTTAACTTTAAATAATGTTCCCGATTCCATCAACCATCGACAAGGCCGACAATAACGTTTGGTAGGTTCTTACATGCATTCTATTCCAATGATATATGGTGTTAAAAAAAATATATATAAAAAAAAATTAAACGCCGGCTTGTGGTAATTATTTTTATGACGACAGAATGGAAAAAAAGAATAGAACTGTTCGGGGAACGTGTGCCTTAGCACTGATGCCTGTCGGTGGAATGTAAAACAACCTCCTGCCGGGTGGCGAACTGATATGTCGGGGTGACGTGGCGCAGTCGCGGCAGGGTTCGGCCGTACGTGACAGATCGTCGACTCGTACGCAATTGGTACGTACGCTGTCGCCGAGGTCCGCGGACGATTCGCCGGCCGTCGGTTCCTCGACGGCCGACCACCGTTTGTTTCGCTTCGGCCCGTCCGTTTGCCGCGTGATCAGGTACGACTTGTAGCCCAGCGGCGGCAAACCGTCCGCCCGGAACACCAGCTCCGCCGTGGCCGACGACCGACGGCCGGGCACGCGCACCACCGGCATTGGCAGCCGCACGAACTGCACCGCGACCGACCGACCATCGGGGTCCACCACGGTGTAGGCTGTGTCACCGGGCACGGGTAGCCGCACGTGCTCCACCACCGGTCGGCTCAGCGGATTGTACAGGGTGAGCACGTACTGCTCTTCACGCTCCGATATCTCGCACTGGCTGATGTTGGTCAGGGGGCACGTGTCCATTCCCGTCATCTCCCAGCCGGCCAGCGATCTGAAAGCAAAAACAAACGTTATCGGTTCTCCCAGTCCCTCCCGGAGCGCTATCGCCGAGTCGCGTTCGCATTACGTGAGTATCTCGTGCGACGTCTCTTCGCACTCCGCTATCGCTTCGCTCAGCAGTCGCGCGTAGTCGTTGGCCACGTGCTGTTTCGCCGTGCCCGTGATCGCGTCATGATGTTGCATCACCCCCATCGTCTCCCGCAGCGCCGTGATGTTGACCTCGTACCTAGCGCCCGCGAGACTTTGCACGGCCAGCTGTTTACACGTCTGCGGACAGAACGGTCGCACGGGACGATATCAAATGTTGCGCTCTTTGTATGGGAACGGGAGAGATCTCTCAAATAGATCAGTACAGACGGGTAACAATGATGTATATCGTAAACTGTGCGTCTAAATATATGATCGATTCATAAATAGGTTGTCGGACGAATATGAGAAAGTGCACGTTGGGAAACATTTCGAGACGCTGAGATATAGTCTCCTATGGTGATGGTGACACATAACACGACGTCTGTTGAAATGCGTCGATGGTGAAGGATATTTGGGAAGAGGGTACGGCCGGAGGCGATCGAAAGCTGAGGATAAGGCTCTTTAAGAATATTTGATAAAACGATATAGCGATATTCTCTTATAAGGTTACTCGGTTGTATGGTTACCGAACGACCGAACAAGGATGATCTAGATCAGGGGTCACCAACCTTTTTAAACAATTGAGCTACATCTGACATTTAAGTCCCTGGTGATCGACATCCAGGAGAATTTAGGTCTTTAGGAAGAGATTTGTTTGATGAGCAAAAAAAAAAAAAAGGTCTAAGCTCCAAAGAATAATTATTTATTGTATTTTCATAATAATAATCTAATGTTCCCATTATCCGATTAATCTGATTATTTTAAGCGATCGACCGATAGTGGTAAAATTAAATTTTACAACGATCGACCTATATTCCTAAAAAGATCGACCAGTTGATCGCGATCGACTGGTTGGCGATCCCTGATCTAGATGGAAAAGGGACAGTTGTTTTTATGACATATTTTATGCACCTAAACTCTACAAATACGCGCAACTTATTATTTCATCAAAAGAATTGTATCGAAATTTTAATCAATTTAATTTAATTTAATTCATTAATTTATTTTTTTTAAATTAATGCTGACACATGGAGCCAATATGTTATGTCAAGAACGTTACAATAATATACACACACATACCTGTAGGTAATTGTTGCCCCTTCGTTCGTAATATTTTTGTGTAGGTCTGGATGTGAAATATCCGGTCCAATATGAATGCCTATCACTTTTGTACGGGAAGAAATCGTCCTGTTTTGTCGGGAACGTGATTTGTTTATCGTTAACAGCTTTCAGGTAACACGATGGTGTAGAGTAAATTGCATTAATCTTACTTCCAAAAGCTTGTTTCGAATTTATATGCCTACAAATAACCTATTAGTTACCTATTAGTTATACCTATTATACCTATTAGTTTGTAGTCAGAGCTCGTGTTAGTTCTTATCAATAGCAAAGGAATGATATTTACATGATATTATTTCGCAGTTGTAAATGATTAAAATATTAACTTGTTAAAATCAAACCACCATGTTAAATAATTATTAAAAAACGTTTTACAATGATATAATACAATATTATGTACAATTATTAAAAATTATTTTATTCCCAGCGAACAAAATATGCAGTTTAATATGATCCCACAAACGGTTTTCTTGTAAAAATCTAAACTATTGTTTTTATTTGCAAAACGAAACATTAATAATATCCAAGGCTCGGAACTTTAGGCATTTGCATATTTGTCTAGAAAGTGCATATTGAAATTCTGATTGGATACAAATTCGATTTATAGTATGTATATTTCAGGTATGAACATTTTTATTGCATAATTTTGCATATTTTGTTACTTTTTGTACCAATTCGCATATTTTGGATTTAAGAACATTTATATACATATTTCATGGATTTAACAACATTTTTTAAAATGTGTATTGTTTAATAATAAAATATTAAATAAATGACAACCAAAATTCTAAGTTTTATATCGTTTAACAAAATAAATTAATTCATCAACGGCTATTATTTTTATTGCTCGGGCTCCCAATGCACTTAACAATAATATTATAATCTTCATAGTACCGAGAACTCTTAATAGTGACCACCACCGGCCCGTATTTATTTTTATACAAATTCACCACTGTTTTAATATTTTGTAACATGACATAAACAAATCGTATAACCATAGGTAATTCGTAAACAATTATGTTTAACCATAAGGTTATCAGCTTATACACAATATTATTTCTGTTCGTTATAATACTGGATACATCTGCATGCAAGCAATTTTATTGTACATTGTACACTAGTCAGGAGTCAGTTTATTATTTTTTAAGCAATTATTTTCCAATTTTTTACTGTATATTATACCGCATATTTTAATGATTTTTAACGCATATGTGTGCGCATATTTTAGTACTTTTTAGCGCATAAAATTCCGAGCCTTGATAATATCCAACCACCACGCTTTAATTTTCAAAAATAAATAACAATCTGCGAAAAGGATAGTTAGTCAATAATTTGGTTTATTTTTATAATAAGTATGCAGATTACACGAAAATAAAAGAAATATTGCTGTCTATCAAAAACACATATTATGATACAGTTACCTGATGTATGTTGTATTAAAACCTCTTTTTTTTCTGAAGTTAACGTAATATAGATATTTTTGATACGCAAACTCCAATGTTTTTGTATAACAAATAAACATATTTTAAATTAATTTTACTATTTTTTTTCGTATAATATGATTTAATTTAAGAACACATTACTTAAAATCAAATATTAAATACAGTCGCATTGTAATAATATATTGTCTACGTTTCTGTTTGAAATAAAATTATAATTTAAAACCGAAAAATTTGCATAAATAAATTATCATGTTTTTAATGATTTATCGACGATAAATTATTATTGTACTAACTTAATTACTTTATCCATGCTATAAAAATTTACAGTCGCATCTGTGTATTGAAAATCGTCACCCATTGTTAGTATAATATTATTAGTCTGATAGTGAGAAGATTGATTAATCGCATATTCCATTAGTCTCTGGGCCTGAAAATATTTATAATTATAAATAATAATATATATTAATATATTATATTATATTTATAATTTATTTCATTGTTCAATAATAAAAAGCTATAAATAAATATTATATTACTACTAATGTATATAAAGCAATACATATTATTTTTATAAACAGTCATAAAATATTTACCATTATTTGCTATAAATAGGTATTATGGATTTCAAAAATTGTAATATTTTTATTTAAGTACAACCCCAGAAAATTTTTTTATTTTTAATTATTATTATTTATTTTCTAAAAAAAAATAATTTTATATTTAATTATTACAAGAAATTAAGAAAACTAAATCTAAAGATTAAAACAAAAAATTTTCAACAGTGTATATATTTAAGAATATATATGTAAATATTTTTCAGACAATCATTGTTTTTGGCGAAATAGAGTAGAAAAAATACATTTTTTTTGTTTATAAAATATTATTTCTCATTTTGTTTTTACTTTTCATTCGTTGTTAAAAAAAAATAACTCTACTTGTTTTTTTAAGGATTATTTTTATGGTTTTTATATTTTTAACGTATAAAAAACGAAAAATATCACATTTCAATTTAGACATGTATAGAAATGTATACATACATTAAGTAAGAACAAAAATATTTGAAATTATTATTCTACAAATAAGTTACAACTGATTTATTACTAAAAGCATCTTAAAATGGACTCCCTTTCGATACTAATTAAGTAAAGTGATTTAAATTGATTTGAATATGATATAAACTTTAATAATCTAAATATCAAGAATACTTAGTTGTAGAATAGGAGTTATAGAATAATATTAATTTATAGTTTGTAATAAATTTAAGTTTTTTCACGGCAACGAAAAAAATGAAATATTATACAAACAGTCATATCATTAAGAATTGAGTAGATCATATAGTATTAATATGGTATTAAGACAACTTTCAGAAAATTGTAATTAGAATAATTATTTAAGTATTTATTATTATTATTTTTTTTTTTTTAAGTCGCAATTAGTTTTAAATATAACAACTTACTATAGCATATACACTTTAGAAAAAATTTAATTCAATGTAATATAAAATATCAACATAAAATGCATTTGGCAAAATTAATGTATTTATGACGAAATTATTTTGAATAAATAAATCTATCTGAAAATTTTATGAACATTTAATAAATATTCATAACGTTAAAACGGTATGCTATTCACTAGAGAAAGATAAAAATTTATAAAATATGAGACATGTATTATTTTTTATTGGTGAAGTTATTATTTCATACTGAAAAAGCATCTAGCGTATTTTTTTCCACCATCGGTTTTGCAATAATACTCGATTAAACGCACACAGTGTGCATTCGATTTGAAGTTCAAATTTTGGACATACCTCCGCCAATTAAGATTATGAAATAATGAAAATATATTAAATTGTGATGGCGCATGTTAACACATCGTAGGTCGTGTAATAACATAATCTCATGTATACAGCACGGTGTTTGTGTGTTTATGTCTGCATGTAAAACATGCGCTGCTTAACACTATTAAATGATTAATAAATATTTCAATGCGTGTAAATGAAATGAAGTAAAGCCAACAAATGATTTATAAAAGTCATTGTTCACTACATACTACACTATGTACTAACTTAATAAGTTTGTCCATACTACGAAAGTTAATAGCAGCGGAAGTGTAGTGGAAGTCTTCACCCATTGTTAATATCACATTGTTAGAACAGTATTGAGAACCTTGTTTTTCAACGTACCCAATCAACCGGTTCGTTTTTACATATGCATATACACACACATATTGTATTATATCGAATAACAGTAGTGGTTTACTTGATTAATTTGTCTAGGGATTTGTAATAATAATGAGCGTCCTGGTACGTAAAGTCTCCGCCCATCGTCAAGATCACGTTGCCGTGCGTCTGGTACGCCTTTTCTTGATACCGCAAATAATCGATCAAATAATTCGCCTATTATTTTATAACGTGACGTACATATGGTTTTTTTTTCGTCTTATTATTATTATCACAATCCGTGTTTACGTCACTGCTCACGACGACGCATCACTCGTATAGTGCTAGACATCTCGTGTGCAGCGCATAAACTTAGACCAGGAAAAAACCGGGACATGGCGGTAAACGAGTGGTACCTACATATACTCCGATCAATCATTTTTACCTTGTCCTCCACATTGTACTCGGGGCTTTTCTTATCGTCCACGATTGGATCCACACCGCACACGATGTCGAAACAATACCCGTCGGGTGCGCTATAATAATTGTAAAGGACTTGTGTGTAAAGATCCGCCGACGAACCTAAATGAAAAATAAAAAAATAATGATAATGACGTGATTGTGGAAAACTGCGGCGGAAGGTAAAATGCAGCTGCGTAGTGAACTTATCAAATCACTTCTTTTAATCTCAGAGCGTCTTATACTTTAAATATTTAATTAAATAAATTAAAACATTCTGTGAGAAGCTCGGTTTACCACCGCATCATAGAAAGTTATTTTAATTTGCATATCAAGTAGGTACTCATAAAACGAATACTTGTATTTAGAATGTGAAAAATTAAGCTACTGTAAAGAATACGATTTTATGGAAACTAACAAAATATTTAAATATAAAATGCATTTAAAAATTAAGTTCAATATTTGGTTTTTAGTTGAATTCCTACATCGTGAAATAATATCATCTTTTATGAATGTTTCATTTTTAAAAAAAGATTTTAGTTAATATAACAGTTTATAAATATATAATTTTATAGTTATGATTGTAAATTTAAATATCCCGTAGAGTTTAAGTAATTTAATGTGTAATGAGTTTGCGGGTTTTTTTTTACCAAAATGTATAAAAAATGTGAAGAAATATATTAAAAATAAAATATATATGAACAAATCTTGAGCTTATAGCCTACAGGACTGATATAAAAAAACATTTCAAAAAAATAATTTTTAATATTAGTTTCATCTGAAAATTATACTACACACCCAAAGCAAAATAATAATACTTAACAGTGAGTTCATATATTTTGTTGAAAAATAATTCTTTCGAAGATATTTTGCTAAAACTTTTTCAACACCTTCACACCGTAAGTTATAACTTAATTATAATGAATATTTTTAATAATATGCCGTCTAAAATTAATTTCCTTTTTTCATTGATTTACTAAAAGTAAAAAATATGCTAAAATTTCAAACGGAAACATTACTGAATTCAAATATAAACATATATATATATATATATTAATTCAGAATTCTAATGATGTAATAACTCGATGAATGAAACAAATTGAAGTGTAGAGTATGAAGATAAAAATTGTAGAGAATACATTTAGAAATACTCGTATTTACATTTGAATGGTATTTTATTTTTTATCTATTAACATTTTTTAACTTTAAATATGCGAAATTGTATTATAATGCTAACCACGAAACAGTATGGATCAAATGAAAGCATTAACAAGAGAAGTAGTTGTTTAAATTTCAACAAAAAAAAAAAAAAAATTAAAACAATATAATTTTTCACGAATGTCAAGGAGAAAACGATATGTAGTATAGTAAACGAGATTATTGTGTTGTATATTTAAATTTAAAATCAATATTTTACAAATTGATGTAAATGTAACTTTGTGGAAAATGTGATACGCGTGGTAAATTAATTTTGTCAGATAAAACGTGTAATGGTACGAAGGGGAGTGTATAATAATATAAAGGTCGATGTACGATAAAAGTATTTCAAATTTAATTAGGAAGAGAGACTAGGTATAATATAATATACTTACTATTATGTGAATTTGAATATATGTATATAAATATGTATGGTATACGATGAAAATACGAACATGAGGGAAAAAACTAGTGTTATGAAATTAGATAGAAAATTAAAAATGTGCGTACAAAAGATAGAATATATACTTTAGACGTTGCCGCTTTTGTAAGCAAAATATGAGAATGTGTGCGCGGGGAAAATGCCTTTGTTATGTGCGTACGTCACAAGAGGATATTATTTCGTGATTAATTTCGGGAGATGGAATGGTGTGCGAGATTGTATAGGAAAAATGTAATCGAAAAATTATATGAAAACAAACGTATCATATTACTGCTATAAACATAAAGATAATAAAAATACTAATTAGATATAGGCGTTGGTCGGAGTTTAATTTTTAGATAATGTTTGCGTCGTTGATCATAAACTCGACGAACATACGATTGAAGTCGAATAATGCTCATATTAAATTTAAAGCATTGCCTATACGCAGTACCGCAACTGTGAACTTTGAGGCCTGTGTGCAAGGGTTTATTTTGACACTCCCATTTTTTTACTTGATATTTTTATTACTACAACAATTAATAGGTACCTCTAGAATTTTAACTTGTATTTAATCAATTATGATCTAATACGTCTAATATAGATTAAAAGAAAATAAGATTACTTTCAACATTACGAGTAACATAAAAAATGAATATATTAATATATTAATATGAAACCAATGGTATTACTAATTCCAACACATACATTATAATTTTTTTTTTTAGAATCTTTGTGAGATAAGAAATTTAATAGTTTTATAGTTTTATCATAACGTATTATTATTTTTTCCGTATATGTTTGATTACACAATATAAACCAAAATTATTGCAATGATCATCACCAAATAAAAAGTAAAATAGTAAATGGTTTTTAGTTGATAACCTAGAAGAACGTGGAAGCAAAAAATAGAATAAAAATATTTGCAACAGATAATTTTCAATTTTATCTTTTGGTTTTGGAGACCACTCAAAACTCTTTACCCATGTGTATTGAATCCCTAAGATTATGACACTGGTTATCTAATCCAATACTTTGCAAAAAATTAAAACATTAAAATTTTACATTTATGCTTCTCTTTTTATACGATTTATTTTAGACTATAATAACATTAAGTTACAGATAATATTTTAATCTAATTGCATTATTACCTAAACAAATCGAATTGGCCGATGATATGGTATTGATTTTTAACAATCAACCGATATCTACCAGTTTTCATATTTATGTGGAAGAAAACAAATAACGTCAATTTCACAAATTTACAAATGAATGCTATCATAATTAGTAATAATAACATGTTATTTTTAAATCATTTTATAGATTTTCTTTGCATTAATTACATTAATTACACGTTTATTATTGTTTCAAATATTTTCTATTATTTGGTTATGAAATTTAATTATCACACATTTATCACGCCCAAACTCGACGTTTTATGTTTTTAAAATAAAAAATGAAATACAAATGAATAAGTAATTAAACTTATGACTTTACATTACCAATGTTAGGACTGGATTGCCATATCATTTCTGCCGTTTTGTTCAACAACCTTTGTTTTTTTTCCTCGTAGTCCAATCGTCCAAAAAACAAACCGTCGTAACCAAACTGTGAAAACAATGTGGCCATTTGTCTGGAGTGGCCAAACGGATCGATTTGCCACCCAATGTGAGGTCTTCCACATTCCCCAAAAGTATCGTTTAATTTTCTATAAACAAATTGGTTGTTAAAATTGTATTAATCTATGCATTATAACAATTTTAATATTTCTTACATTTTTAAAATAAGTACACAGCTATAGTTATTTAATATAAGCTATTTTGTACTCTGTAAATAAAATTTTTAAATATTCATTCTATAAATCAAATTATTATTCATGTTCGAATCATATTCGTTACTAAAAAATGTTAGAAGTCTAGTTATAAATGTTCATGTCAAAAATGTTCACGAAATAAAATTCCATATAAAAAATTTCCAAGTACCAAAAGTGTCCACACATCTATACATAATGTATATTTATTTTTTTGGAAAAGATTAATTATCCCATAATTAACTTTTAAAACATATTTAATAAAATGTAAGTAATTTAGTAAGTAAAATAAAATTATGTTAGTCTGAAGAATGTTAAACTACGACTCGCTGTATTCCAGCTGGTTTTCATATTAATCACCTGATCCGACACCCAAATGTTAAACACAGTGGAGTAATTTTGTGAAGTATGGGTGGAAAGATTAGATTGATCTGAGTATTTTAGATTTAGAGATGCCACTGTTGCGGGCTTTTCTATTTCCCGTTACACATACCAAAATCCATTTTTCTTAGTATGGTAAATACAAGTATAATATATAGTACCTATACCTCTGATTCTTACACACTCCGTAACTCATAGAATAGTTTTAGGATCTTTGTTATTTATAATTTATATTCATAATTCATTAAATTTAAATATTAAAGGAAAATAATATTTTATGCAAATGATACCCTAGTTTTATTAAAAGAAAAATCAAATGAGTTAATGTTCAAATTAGCTAATACATCAGTTAAATTATAAAGTTATAGTTTGATAATAATTACATAGCAATACATTTTTATAAATACAGTTTTCTAAAATTTAATATCTTTGAAAATAATATTATAAGTATTTAAAATTATAAGTAATTTTTTCATAATGATAATTGTGAAAAAATGAATGATTGTAATTGCATTAAAATAAAATAACTATCAAAAATATTTGAAATTAACCTTAAATTATTTGAAAAACAAACTTTTAAATTAACAATTTGTTTTAATATTGTTCAGTACAATCTCTTCTGAGATATTTGCAAGATTTAGTTGCAGAAAAACGCGTCGCAGCTCTTTGTCAAATGAAAACCGACAGTTTTATAAAAAAAAAAAAAAAATAAATAAATAAAAACCCTATAAATATATTTATATATTATTTCATGATGTATGTCAAATATATGTTTCTATGTATTTCTAAATAATATAATTCAAATATAATAATAAAAATTGTATTAATTTTTTTTATAATATACATGATTATATTAATATTAAATACATTACATTTGATATGTAACATTTACATAATATGTTTATCAAAATAATTTCCAATAACCGAAGTTTCGCGTATCCGAACTAGATGCGGTCTTGATTAGTTCAAATAATCGAAATTCTACTGTATACACATCTTATTAATAAACCAGAACACAAATTTAGTATTAGATTTAAGGAAAAATGTAATGTAAATATCCCTGTATGTATCAGATTATTTAATATGATGTTACCTTTAAATATTGGTTTACTTTTTTGAGTAATAAGATTATTAATATTGATTAATTTCTAACATTTAATAAATTTAAGAATATATTTTCAAGATTTCATATGTACATAAAAATTTTTAATTAATTCTATGCATAAATAATAGGTATTTAGTATTTGGTTTTAATGTTATTTAATGAAAATTCACGATCATATTGTTTAATGACTTGTCGTTATTAATATTTCTTTGTTAATACTTATCCTACCTAAAAGAAATATACTTATAGATTGGCCCGAAAGAACTTTATTTAAAAATTATAAATGTATATTGGTGTTTCTAAATAGGCGTTGGGAAAGTGGCGTCCCCATCGCCCAGTGCCCTTCATTGAGTGCTGCGATAGTCTCTGGCCCTCCTGGTTGGGGGTTGAGCGTCAGGTTAACAATCCGACCTTGTAAAAAAAACTTTTGTTCAGGACACATACATAAAGCCTCGGAGTAGATTCATCAAGGGCGGCCGCAGGGGGGGCAAGTAGGGGCATCTGCCCCCCCTTGGTTTTTTCATGGGTCAATTATCATAACCATTATATAGTATAAAATATCATAAAATAAATATTTTTTAATTTAAAAACATTTTTTGAAACGTTGAGTGCCACATAGTCGACAAATGTTATGTGGATTTTTATGGGTGTATTATGTCATCGGTTTTCGATGCACTGTTTCGACTATTATATGTGAATATTAAATATTTAATAGGATCTCGTGATTTCATTGGTATCATTGAATATAAATACTAAAATACTACAAGTATTTAATATTTATAATCATTAATCAATTTTGGTATATTTGGATTTTGCGTAGCTATTTTTAGTGGGTATTAATTATTTTTTCCGAATAACGACGACGGTGACGGCGATGTGTCGAACAACGCAGCGGTGCTATTTCCGGTAATAATATAATATTATCTCGACAAATAATTGACCGTCGGCGCGGCGTCGCGGGTCAATTTTAGCATGGAAACTAACTATATAGGATATACCCATCATAAATACTGTGGCACTCAGCGTATTAACATATACTCAGCTGAAATTTTATGACTTTTAATGTAATTTATGAATATACCTAGTGTCTTAGTGAGTAGTTTCATAATTGATAATGTTTAGTATTTTTAATATTAAAAAAAAGGGTAATAATAATTCTAAACAAGATGGTCAAGATGAGCAAAATCAAACCTGTAAGATTTATAATGAAGATGGTGAACCAAGTGATAAATCAAGTAATGATATTTTTAATAATTCTTTTGAAGAACAACCAGTTACAGAATTACATTCGATACCGACGACATCATCGTCATTAAAGTCATCTAATTCAAATTTATCGAATTCTAGTAATTTAGGTAATAATAGATTTAGTAGACTAGATATTGGGAACTTTGTTAATCTTCCATGTACATTAGTTATTGATGAAAAAACAAAACATGAATTATTAACCAATATCTGGACACCAGAAATTAAGTATAGTTTCAAGAAAGATAGTACGTCAGTTGCTCGTTGTTTTCGGCATGAATGGTTAAGTACATATTCACCATGGTTATCTTATTCTCAAAAAATGAAAGGTCCATTTTGTGTGTTCTGTGTTCTATTTCATTCATCTAGTGGTCATGGTAATTCTTATAAACAAATTCAGTTTGTAAAAAAACCATGTATTAAGTATAAAGATTTTCACAAAAAAGCATGCAAACACAAAGTTTCCAAGACACACTTACAATGCACAGAAAATGCAGTTAATTTTATTAAGGTTTTTTCTAACAAAGCTTCAACTGTTTTTGATAAAATTAACACTTCTCATAAGTTACTGATTGATAATAATAGGAAAAAAATTTTTCCTATTATTTCAAGTATACTATTTTGTGGTACTCAAGAAATTGCTTTGCGTGGAAAAACATCAAATGAAGGAAATTTCAATTCTTTAATTAACTTTAGAATTGAAGCTGGTGATAAAATTTTACAAAGTCATTTAGAATCAAGCCCCAAAAATTCCAAATATATTTCAGCTAGAGTTCAAAATGAAATAATTAATATTACAGGAAAAATAATCTTGAGCAGAATAACAAATTATTTAGTGAAATCGCGATCATTTTTTTCTATACTCGCTGATGAAACTGCTGATATTTCTGGTACCGAACAGTTATCCATAGGCATAAGATATATCTCATTTAAATCAGAAAACCCTGTAGTTAAAGAAGAATTTTTAGGTTTTGTTGCATTAACAGATATGCATCCTAAAACTGTAGCAAAATCTATAATACATTTTTTGAGACACTCTGGTCTTAATTTAAACAATTTAATAGGACAAGGATATGATGGTTGTAGTGCTATGTCAGGTATTCATAATGGTGTCCAAGCAATTATTAAAAATGAATTTCCTAAAGCTGTATTTGTACACTGTTCATCACATAGACTAAATTTAGTAATAAATGATTTGAATAAACTTCAGCATATTCAAAATTGTGCTGGAATTATCAAGTCGATTATTAAATTTTTTAAGTTAAGTCCTAAAGGAAGAAAAAGAATAGAAAAAATCCCTTTATTTTGCGAGACTAGATGGTCAGAAAAATATAAAACTATAAGAATTTTTAGTGAACATTTTGTTGGAATAGTTGAACAATTAGAAATAATATCTATGGAAACATGCTTTGATTCACAAATAAAAAGTCAAGCATTTCAGTTACACAGTGCAGCAACTAAATCAAATTTTATAGTGTGTTTATTCATAATGGCAACATTTTCTGCTCAACTAGAACCTATAACGAATGCATTACAAGCAATACAGTTAGATTTATCTCAAGCTAGAAAATATATTACTGAAATCATTGAAGTTTTTAACAACCTGGATGCGAAAAATTATTTTCATTAGATTTTTAAAAAGGCTCAAAATGTTGCAAATGAGCTTGGAGAAGAAATTGAAATTCCTCGTATTGTTTTTAACCAAAAGCATCGTTTAAATCATCCAATAAATACTCCTGAAGATTATTTTAGAGTTTCCTTATACCAACCATATGTAGATTCCTTAATAATGCAATTAAAACTAAGATTTTCTAATGAAAACAGTGCTGCTCATTCCTTATTAAATTTACATCCGAATAATATGAAAAAAATACAACATGATGAATTTAAAAACATGATAGTAGAAATAAATAATTTTTATGAAATTGATAATTTGGTTGAGGAGTATATATTATGGTATAATGTATGGAAAAATAGAAACACAAGTCAAAGTGAAATGAAAAATATAAGTTTCATAAGTCTATTAGATGAAGTAAATTTATATCCAGCAATTTATATTGCACTAACTATCGCATTAACTCTGCCAGTTACTACTTGTTCAGTAGAAAGAACTTTTAGTACACTACGTAGAGTAAAAACTTGGACAAGAAATACTATTGGTGATAATCGACTTAATGGTTTATGCATGATAGCTGTCCATAAAGAGTTTGTCAAAAATCATAAATTAGAACTAATTGAAGAAATTATAAATGAATTTGGTTTACTACCACGCAGAATGGAACTATTATTCAATGATTGAATAGTTATTATTTATAATTATTTGTTAATATTTTTATATTATTTTTTCTAAGAATCCCAAGTTGTGTGAGGTAATACGTATATTAAGTTTGATCTTTATGATGTTTCTTTTTTATTTTATTATGTATAGGCCTTTAGCGTATATACTCGTATTTTATTTTAGAATATTAAAATTTAAAAGTTTTTATTATTTATATAATTTAATATGTATTAATACATATTTTTTTAATAATTTATTTTAATCAAAGTTATTTACTATAATATTATAATATAGCTCTAAGCAGAGTATAAGCTATGGTAGTTTTTAATTAAAAGAATAAATAAGTTATTTTCAAATAGTTTTTTATTTATTTTATAGAAGCTAGAAACATTTAATTTTATAAGTAATCTAAAATTACCAAATCAATGATTACATTTTATTTGTATAAAAAAATACATTTGTTAATTTAAAGTTGCACATTAATTAATTAACATTAATACTGTAAGATTAAGTTTTAATGTTCTAATTATATACATGATTAATAATTTAATTTTTACGTTCCCTACTTATATGATAGAAAACACGTCGAAAATAATAAGGTACATTATCACTAATCAGATAATGAAACAAAAATTAAAATATCTTGCCCCCCCCCTTGACACATTCCTGCGGACGCCCTTGAGATTCATTGGAAAAAAAACTGGAAATAGGAAATTGGATTTCATTATTGGTACCTGGAATGTACGGACCCTTTACAAGCCAGGAGCGGTTACGGATTTAGTTAAAGAGGTAGAGAGGTATAATATGAAGTATGTAGCATTACAAAAAGTGAAATGGGATGATTCTACAACAACCAAAATATCAAAAACAACAATATTCAGTGGCAAGTGTGAACAAAATCATCAGAATTGGTTTCGCAGTACACGAATCTATCATACATGTAGTAAGATAATTTAAGAATATAGACCCAAGAATATCGACCATAACTCTAAGAACAGATAATATGGATGCAGTACTAATAAATGTCCACGCACCAACTGATGAAAAAGATGAAAAAGAAAAAGAGCTCTTCTATACCATATTGGAAGACATGTATGAGTCTGCAAAGGGAAACATTATTCTAGTTTTGGGTGACTTCAATGCAAATGTAGGACGAGAAAAATATTACCGGGACATAATTGGAAATCATAGCCTACACGAGTTATCGAATGACAATGGTACTAAGCTAGTAAATTTCGCGGCTAGAAAGGGCCTAGTTGTTAAAAGCACGATGTTTCCACGGAAAGATATACACAAGTATACCAAATGGGCTTTATAAAACCAGATAGATCACATACTTATAAATAACCGTTATAAGAATAGCATAAAGAATATAAGAATATAAAGAGGAGCTGACTCAGACTCTGATCACTTGCTGTTAGGATGCTGGAAGAAAGTAAAATTTAAGAAAAAGAAAAACTGCAAACCAACAAGGAGGAATAACTATAATATTGATAAATTTAGTGAAAAAAGGATATGTGAAGAATATAAGAGCAAGAAAGACAATATTCTAAAAAGAAAGCAAAGTGCTAATGAATCTGTAAATGAGACATGGGAACATATAAAGGTAATTGTAAATGATGTGTCTATGAGAGTTATTGGTAGGACGAAGTCAACATCTAAACCTTGGTTTAACAAATTATGTAAAGAAGCAATTAAGAGGAGGAAATTGGTAAGACAAAAATGGCTAGAGGACATAAATAATAACTAAACCTTAGAAAAGTATAGACACCGTCGGAGGGAAACTAGTAAAATTTTAAGATGTAAAAAGAGGAAATACGTAAAAGGAATGATTGATGGCACAGAGATGGAATATAGAAGCAATAGAACAATTGATCTGTATTAAAGAGTAAAAAACCTTAAAGGAAACTACAGAAAAAAGTTGAGATTTTTAAAAACGATGATGGATCATTGATAACCATAGAGGAAGAATTGGCCACAATATGGGCAAATTTCTTTGACAAGCTTTTAAACTGCGAAGAGCCAAGCCAAATTTTCTCTCCCAGCCGGAACACCAGCGATAATCAACAATGCCTAAGTCCGTCTTTAGAAGAAATCAAGTACCAGATACAAAATTTAAAGAATCACAAATCACCTGGAGAGGACAGGATAGTAGTAGAATTGATAAAGAATGGTGGAGAGGAACTGATTCAAAGAATATGGAAAATCATCACTTAAGTATGGGGAACAGAAGAAATACCTGAAGACTGGAAAACGACGATGATGTGTCCCATATATAAGAAGGAAGATAGAAAGGACTGCAACAGTTACCGGGGAATAGCACTCTTTAATGTAGCATATAAAATATTTACTAGCTGCATTCTATCAAGGATGAAAGAGACATCTGAAAATGTAGTTGAATATCAAAGTGGTTTTAGGCCAGGTAGATCGACAACTGACCAAATATTCATTGTCAGAAAACTTTTACAAAAAATATAGAAATGTATATACTTTTTGTCAATTTCCAAAAAGCATATACTAGCCTACACCGAGAAAGTCTAATTAGTACTTTAACGTGTTAGGCACATTTCTAATCAAATAACTATCCATGAGTATATATTTGATAATACTTTCTTTATTACTTTCAATGAAACTTATAAATGGTAAGAGTAATATTACATTTAAATTAAAATGTTGACTTAAGCTTGTAAAATATGTTTTATAAATTTTAATTTATGTTTCAAGTACTTTAACTTTATTAAGCATAAATTAATTTCTCTCATTAATTTTATTTATGTACTGTCAGCGACCTAAATAGAGCGTCAGGATAAATATTACACCAAAGTTATGTAAAGAAATAGTATATATTTAACAACAAAAAATAATTTATAAAATTTAATACACGGCGGTATTTACGAACGAGCACAGCGTCGCGCACACGACTGCGGAAAATAAAAGGAAAGAGCATGTGTGGTTGTCTTATCTCTAGCGACGGCGGAGGGTAGGGTAGGTAGCACAGCAGTACTAACTAAATCATTCTGTCCTGCATGAAAAATATTTTATTATTTTGAATAAAAGCAATTACTATTTCGATATATATATAAAAAAAAAAATGTAGGCTGCAAAAAACGTCAAAGATATTTATTTGTAAAATATTGATTTACATCCACCACAATTGATAAAATCAATATATCATACAAAATAAAATATTTTTTAATTATTTAAAAAGTGAAAAATTGTATCCATCTAACCCAAAGCCAAACATTTTATCGAACTTTTAATGTGTTTTTCGAAAAATCCTTTCTTAGTTATTAATAATAACAATTATTATTAGTGCACAAATATATCCAGTAATAAATATATTATATTTTATATAAATTATATTAATTTAACATTTCAAATGAATCAGTTTTGGCTTTAAACAGACAACAATGAGTAAGTAATAGTTAAATTTTTTGTACAGAATATTCTGAGTCTCGATCGATTCAAAACTTTTATACTTCGAATTAATAACTTAGTCTCTTGAAAAACCTATAGTATTTGAAGAAATCATATGTATTTCAGTTTCTTTTATAAATGAAAATTTATAAATTATGAGACAGCAGATAAACACTTCACCAATTTTTATATTTTTAACCGGAATCTCTATAATTCGAATTTAATATAAATTAATTAATCTTGATCAAAATTAATATAAGTTCAAATATATTTAAGTATATAATAAATCTCACGACTTTTTGAATTCGCACCGAGCAAATTGTATATAACTATTTCCTGTTTCCGTTACTCGACGTTGAAAGCGTGGCCGCGGCGTGTTTCGCCACTATTACAGTGGACAATATTTTGATCACCAGATTATTAGTAATCTCACGGAAAATCTCCCATAGTTATTCGAGTACTCGAGACTACATTTGGTCGTGCGCGTGGTTGCAATTCGACAACGATAACGTCGAAAACGCAACGGAGTGCGTAAGCAAAATAGACAACTACTTCGCGAGACGCTATTTTGTCGCACATTAATATACGAAGACTTGTGGTGATAGAGAGAGGAGGGAGCCGTTTACGATTACCCTCGATAAGACTATAACAGTTAATGTAACCATATACATGGAGCTCGGTTAAATGTCGTCGTGTTAGACGCAGAATTTTTGCCATAGCAGTAAATAAACAATACTAGTTCGAAAGTATTTTACAAGTTTTTTTTTTTCTAATTTTATCAACGAATATTTTGCGAGTTTACTCTGTCTTACGAAAAAAATAAATAAAAGTTATAACCAATGTCAATGAAAATGTTAACCTACAAATCGCAACGAACAAATTCACTACTTTATATAAAAAAAATGTCGATTTGTAAAACAATGTTTTCTCGTGAAAACACTGAATTTAATCGTTATAAATTTATGAATTTTCAATTAAATAAATTATATTTGATTGGAAGCGAGGCTTATAGATTGATTTTGATTTTAGAAAATTAAATTTAACGTGGTTGATGTTGGTCTTACAACAACTTGATTAGTGGATTTTATCGTACTATTATTATTAGAAAAAACATAACCGCTAAAAACCCATTTAGTATATTGAACAAATAGTTCTGTATGTAACCGAAGTCATGTTTTTCGGCTAAGAATTCATTTGATAATAAAATAATTAAAGACCCATAATACGGTTTTCCGTAAGTAATACGGTTTACCGTAAGTTTCAAAATAATCTCAGTTTATATCTCATAATCACGAATCAAATTTTAAGACCATCACGATAAAAACAAAACTCTGTGTCTCTATATATTATTATATTTTCCAATGATTAAATTAACTTAAAGTGATTCTTAGCACATCATTACCTTAAGCCCCAAGTGAATTGATCTACAATCGATAAATAATTAGAAGCAGCTTCGTCGTTCATACTCCAAGCACCTCCAATGAACTCCAATCGTCCAGATCTTACAAGATCTCTGACGATATCCTGCGTTTCCTCAGATTGATCAACCCACCATTTCCAGAAAAACGCAGTCTCTACATAGATAAACCTAATGTGACATATGAAATGTTATAAGTTTCATTCAATATTTCTAAATGTCTTATTTTGTGTACCTCTTGTTCGGGTCTTTAGACAGTTCGGAAACCACGGAGTCTAAGATAAACTGCACGCCAGCCAATTGAATGGAATTATTTGCTGAAATAATAAGTAATATAAAATGCAAATATATCAATAATTTAAATATTTAAATGTTTTAAATTCGTATAAACTTATAATCTTATTAATTATAACTTTTATAATTGAGTCCTAAACTACTATAATTTAAATTAAATTTGGACCATAACTTTTGAATTTAACAACTATATTGATTGTTCCAACTATCCCTCACCGTCCATGGTTCAACGACTTGGGGCTATCTAGAAAATCGATTGTCGCTTTCATTCGCCTTCGAATAGGACACAGTCTTCTTCCCCACCATGCCTTTAAGCTTTCTTTAAACTCTTCTCCTCTTTGTACGTGACATCATGTTGACACCGTCTGCGACTTTAATCATATCATCTTTCAATGCCCATCCCTACTTCCCAACTGACTTCTCCTTTTCTCACTCCTATCTTCTTTTGGTTATATCACTCCCGACGCCAATCTTCTACTTAATTCCCGTTCCATATCTGTTATCCACTCCATCATAAATTTCATTTACTCCGCTGGCTTCTCAATCTAATTAAATTGTTCTACATATATTTTATAGGTAAGATTGTTAATATTATTATTATTCACTAATTAATACCTTTGTTATTTTCGTTATGTAATCGCTTTGCTGTAATGTGCAAACAAAGGCAAATTAAAAAAAAAAAAAAAAAAAAAAAAAAAAAACTATATTAGCTGAGCATAATGTAATCTAAAACCTAAACTAAATATTAACTTTATGTCTCTCGATATTTATTTGAGAATAAATTTTCATTTTAAACCCTTAAATTGAAATTTATAGAATTTAATTTTTAAAAAAATAATTTTTCAAACCAAAACTTAAAATATTAGTTTAATAAATTGAATATTATATTTTATTTTATGCTAATTTTAAAGTTTATGTAACATTTATTTAAAATTCAATAGTATAACACAAATATACATAGTACTTACATGTAGCACTTAAAAAATACATTGAACATTTAAAATGTCTCATGTATAATTTTACAAATTTAAAGTTTAAATTATTCAATTTTTTTATAAATTTCATATATTCGAAATATTCGACATTTTTTTTGTATCAAAAATTCATAAAACTTAAAAATCATAAAATAGTTTATCAAGAATTTAGTTATTTATTATTCATAAAAAAAAAATTATCTTCATATATTCAAAATGTATAAAATAATGAATTATTTAATTATAATTATTATTATAATATATATATATATATATATATATATATATATATTATTTATATTATATAATTATTCAATTATTTAATTAAATATATTTCAAATTACACAGTTCATGTATCACTCAAATACATTAAATCTATTAAACCATCTACAATATAACTTGAAATTGAAAGTTAAATCGTTTTATTCGTTGAAACAGACCAAAGTTTTCAGATTTCTTAAATAAGCAAAACAAATTTATTTTAAATTCATAATTACTGCCAAAATAATATTGATCGATGGTTTTCAGCCAACCAACATCGTCGTGTGAATGCGGTATAAAGTGCACGTTGAGATAGCCGTCCTTCACCGGATGACAAGACTGAAAAATATAAATTCATAAAATAGTAAAATATTCATCCAGTTAAATATATGTTCACCGTTATGTTGTTAAACATATATAAATCGTAGCGCGCGTCATTGTTTGTCTATTGAAGAATTCTAGGAATTCGCGTGTACCGCGGTTTCTATGAAGTACTAAAAGACGGGATTTCGCAAATTCTACATCTCACCAAAATTACGACAAATTAATTGGTTCATTATAAACTATATTTTTTTTAGTATTATAAAGTTTTAAAAGCTTATCCGTTAATGTTTCACTTGCTATTAAATGTATGAGTGCAAATATAACTAAACCATACGTATAACGGTCTGTGTAACACTAAAACAGTTACGATCGCTTAATTTTTATGACAAATACAACGTTTAACGGTCCAAATCATCGATAAAACATCGTAACCATAAACAGATCATGAAACACTATTATATGGTTTGTAAATTATACGCAACACAAGTATTGAAGGATGTGAACTCTTCCATTTTCAAATCGATTGTAACAATATATACTCGTACGAGTACACTATAAATATAATCAAAGGGAACCTGTTCTTTTCGATTCACAATTATTTATCGTAAATTATACGTTGCGAATCTGAACCTAATATCTCCTGCTTTTAAAGTATACATTTATTCGTATAGATTTGGGTTAAAACATTAATCTAAAATTTACCGTTTCAAACACTGTATTTAAAACGTGATCCGTGCGCTGTGTGGCCTGTTGCACATATAAGAGGAAAAGTAATAAAAATAATATATATGTTAGGCACAGATACAAGGGGAAGGAGCTTATGGGAGCTGAAGCTTCCCCCTCCCTTAGACATTAAGTAGAACCATATCGGACATAGGTATTTAAAATATTAAAAAATTAGACCTATTAATGGACTTTGTATAAATCGAAATGCTCAACGAATTATGGCAGTAACTCCCTTTACTATCCCCCCTCCTTTTTTTAATTTCTAGATCCACGACTGATATTAGTGAATTTTGTTAGAAGTAGATCGTCTAGGCATCGACTGACTGAAATTAATTAATATCGTACTGCAAACGTAGAGAACTATATTGCATCGGAAATCGAAAGAAAACTTATTGGTATAAAATATTAGAATAACGAATTCCATAATATAAACTACATCCATTTAAGATAAAAACTATCTGAACATTGATGAATATAAATGGTTAATATATTTATCATTTGTAGTACGTATTGAATTTCGCGTCTTTTTTCTCTCTGTATTAGAGGAGTAATGAAAGAACGTCTAACGTAATTGCATTATTTTAAAAACTCAAAACGGTGAATAAAAAATTTTATATCTTATTAGACTATTGAACGGCTACTACAAAATTGTTATCGTGGACAGTAATAAACGGGTATCGACTTAATACGATATTTTATAATATTTCTATGGAGAAATTCAATATTTATATGATCATAATATTCTTATTGTGATTGAAAATCATATGAAAATGTATATTCGTCTATATTACAGTTTTTAATAAAATTCTGAAATGCACACAATTTTCTTAAATAGTTTTTCAATGTTTAATAACAAGAATAAAATAACAATAATATACGAAATCGGTACTAATAAAATATATATTATTATTATTGATTATATTGTACATTATACGAGTATAGTGTAATATATGTCCAAGGTGCAAGATCTATTATAAAATACTTTACGATTTCGATAACCTATTCCAAACATAAGTTTCAAATACACTTTTAAGATTAAAATACTTGTTATCAGTATTTGATATAATTTAATAATATAATAATAATATAATCATATAACTTGATAATAATTTGTTCTAATGGAACATGAACTATAAATTGAAAACGATGATGTTTTTATAATATTGTATAGTTAAAATTGTTAACTATAACGTATACGTTATCGTTTAACGTATGCATCCAACATGTGATAACAAATTAACGTATTTTAAAGTTTCAACAATTTGAATCATTACGGATTTTACGGAAAACAATCGTTAATAATCGATACATTTTATATCGATCTTTGCCGTAATATCAGAAGGTAAACTATGTATTAATACATAGATATATAACAATTAACCCTACGTCTAAACCCGTCTAGAATGCGATGGACTCGTAGCATAATACACATTTGTGACTTAATTATACATACTATGAACTTAATTATTTACAATTGATTTTAAATGTTGTGTTGTTAAATTCTATACCAAGCGTACAGACGCGCACGACAATTGTGTGACTCCCTTAATGGATGGTCAAAACTTTTGTGCTAAGACCGAACGAGTGTAAAATTATTTATAATTTTTATAATACAACTAGAAAATAAACTTGAAAAACATCTCGTTTTTAGCAGTAATAACGGAGTGTATTCACTACGAATAATAATAATTTTCGGTAATTATACTGTACCCAAAGATTGTGCACATTTTAAGAAAAGAAAATAATACAATTAACGTCGTTGTAAAATAATCATAGTTGTATTAAAATAAATGAGCAAGAATACATATTTTTAAATTTAAATATTTGTCACGGAGACGTGACACATGATTGAATTGGTACGATGTCCAGTGGCGTATTTTCGAGGTAAGGGAGGACGGGGGTCTTGCTACGAAGAAATAGAGCAGTGGTTCTTAACCGGTGTTCCGCGGAACACAGGTGTTCCGTGGACTTCGTATAAGTGTTCCGCCAAAATTTTAAAATCAGTGAAAAAAAAATTTCTTTCAAAAATAGAATCATTTTAGGTTTTGTTGGTTTATTTTTGTACACAAAAACGTTATCGTTAACTTTCGAATAATATAATGTGTCAGTATACTACTATACTATATAATATATTAATATACATTATTATTATTATATTATACGATAATCTCCACCATACTGCGATAACATACGTATAGATATTGACAATTTTATTTTCTGCACTAATAAAAGTTATAAAATACATTAGTATTAGTACGTTGCCCACGGTTATCAACGTTAGACGCGTGTACAACTTCGTAAATAAGGATTCTGTTATTTTTTTAAGTAAGCACAATTTGAAATTTATTTAGTTAATTAATTTAATTTGTAACGACCATTTTAATAACAAAATGGACAAATTTCTTAAACGGAAACATGATTCTGGTACTGATAGTGCAAGTACAAATACAAGCAATGTCAATGATGAGAATAAAATAAAAAAGGTCAATAGACAATATTGCAACGATTATTTAAATTTTGGGTTCACTTATGTTGACGAAAATGATTGTCAAATTCCCCTTTGTGTGGTTTATGGGGAAAAGTTGTCTAATAGCGCAATGGCGCCAGCGAAATTAAAACGGCATTTTTCATCTAAGCACGCCAATCTCCAGTCTAAAGAAAAAAATTATTTTGAAAGGTTGTTGAATAATCAAATGAATCAAAGAAAACATTTTAAAAAAATTGTAACAATATCTGATAAAGCACAAATCGCATCTTATAAAGTTGCCGAAATAATTGCAAAACAGTTAAAACCACACACCATAGCAGAGAGTTTGATTTTACCGGCATGTTCAGAAATAGTTCAAATTATGTTTGGCGATGATGCAAAAAAAGAAATTATGAAAATTCTGCATTCAGACGATACAATAAAAAGCAGAATTATACACATGTCAGATGATATTGAGAAAACTGTCACTAACAAGCTTACTACTAATAAACTATATTTCGCTTTGCAAATTGACGAGTCTACTGATATCAGTGGTATAGCTCACGTACTAGGATTTGTTCGTTTCATTGATGAAAATAAAATTGTGAATCAATTTTTATGCTGTAAACAACTTACTGAACATACTACAGGACAGAATGTTTTTGATTCAATTTCGTCATATTTAGATAAATTTAATATAACATGGGACCAATGTGTAGGAATCTGCACCGATGGAGCTCCTTCAATGGTTGGTTCTATTAAAGGATTTACAACATTAGCGAAGAAAAAAAATCCTAATATCATATCTACACATTGTTTTTTACACCGAGAATCACTTATTTCGAAAACATTACCTATTACATTAAAGTCTGTATTGGATAAAATTGTAAGCATGGTTAACTACATAAAATCGTGTCCATTACAATCACGCCTATTTAAAAAACTGTGTGAATCAATGGAAGCTCAGCACGTATGTTTACTTTTACATTGTGAAGTAAGATGGTTATCGCGAGGTAAAGTTCTAAATCGAATTCTGGAACTTAAGAATGAATTGTTGATGTTTTTTCAAAACGAAGGTAACACTGTTTTTATATCTTTTCTTACAGACGATATTTGGTGTGTTAAAATGGCATATTTAGCTGATATTTTTAATTATTTAAATAGCGTAAATGCTGGTATGCAAGGTAAAAACGAAAATATTCTTACATCCATGGATAAACTATTAACATTTAAAAAAAATAAATCTTTTTGGAGAACGCGTATAATTCAAAAAAATACGGTAGACATGTTTCCTTCAATTAAAAATAATAATGAAATAATTCCTATTATAACAGAACATTTAGCATTATTAGAAGAAAAAATCACGAAATACTTTCCTGAATTAAATATTGAAAAGTATGATTGGATACGAAATCCATTTTCTACCATCAACACGTCAAGTTATGGATTTACGTTAGAAGAAGAGGAAGAATTCATAACGCTCACAACAGATCGAACTCTAAAAATAAAATTTTCCGAAATAACAGTAGAAGAATTTTGGATTTTAGTTCAAACCGAATTTAAAAAAATTTCTGAAAAAGCAATTTCAATATTATTACAATTTTCAACCTCATACTTATGTGAGCTTGGATTTTCAACACTGACGAATATCAAAACAAAGAAACGAGAAAGGCTGACAAATATTGAAGAGGAAATGAGAGTAGCAATATCGTACATACGGCCAGATATTGAAAATATCTGTAAAAATCATCAGGCACAAATATCTCATACAAAGTATTCAATTTCAAATTTTTAAATTTTTTTTAACTTTTTTTATTATTTTATTATTTTTTAGTGACTAACACTAACATGTATGGCATGCAAACAATTTTATGCTATACATTCATTGTTTAATATATTAAAAAATTAAAAATGTATGTACTACTATTTTATTTTACGGTTGTGTTCCGCGAAAATCTTGTAAAATGTTAAGTGTTCCGTCATTCGAAAAAGGTTAAGAACCACTGAAATAGAGGAAGAAAGATAATTATTTCATATGATTATAATGTTTTTTTTTTACAAATATTTGTATAATATTATAATTATTAATTTATACTTTACATGTATTTTTTAAAGTATTATAAAATCATTCAATTTTAAAAAAATTATATACCCTCCTTCAAAAAAAAAAAAACAATTTAAAATACGCCACTGACGATAACATATGAAAAAGTTTTTGCGTTATTTGCGTTATGGGTGGACTAAAGTAAATAAAAAAAAATCTCTAATAATATTTCTATAACACGTATAAAATTCAACGGAGTTTAAGTTATTGTCGAGATTAAATCTTGATTTTTTAGAGTGATAATACGTATATTTCATTAACATTATCAAGAAAAACATATTTTTAATACTTTTTTATATTACTAAAATTATTATTATAAAATGTCAGGTTTCTTAGGTTTTTTGGCTAGTTTGTTAATAATTTCATTGACTTTTCTTTAATTCAATATGGCTTTAAAGAAAAATGGTTTTAGTGTACGATATATTTAATTCATTACCTAACATCTTCATTATTCACCGTTTCTTTATTTTCTTCCACTAATTTTCTCTTCAAATGATTACATCGTATAGAAAAAAAATATTTTTTAATAGCTAATCCCGAAGACATTGCTTACAAATGGTGAACATTTAACCACAGTAAAATTAAAAACAAATACATATAACAGAAAAAACGTTGAAATATTTTGTAAAGACAACAGGCTAAAATGATTTGAACTGTTAACCTTTATCGCTTAGAGACCAAAATCATTTTCATCCACAAATATTTTATACAGGGCCACGGTTTGAGTTATAATATTCTATTGTACGTTATTATCTTGGGTATTTTTTACATTAGCGGCTCTCGTTATAAAATTAAAGCCGACAACAACCGTATTAATTATAAGTACCAATCGGGGTTGTAAAGTACTGTTTCGAACAAACGAGAAAAAAAATGTTCGTGCGAGGAGCAGTGGTAATGGGTCCTCCGACCACGACGACCGGACCGAAAAGACATGTTTCGAAAATACTACTGTACCTCGTATCCGCATTTATCGCCGGGTTCAGGTTTTCTCCAGGGCGACGCGTACGCAGTGGCCGCGCAGACGGCGAGCAACAGCAGTGGTGCCGCGCCGACGGCCGGGGAACGGCGGCGACGCATGACGTTCCGAACGAGGTCGGGGTAGGTGAAAGATCGCGCGAAAAACCGACGTCGGACACGGTTCGGCGAATACCCAGTTAAAGACTAACGTAGTTCGCGTTCATCGGCTGCTGCAACGACGTTAAGGCTGATGCCAGGCCGTCTACGGTGGTCGACTGATCCGGGGACCGGACGTTCAGACCGGTATTATAGTGCGCTCGTCCACCGGTTCTCGTCGCTCCCCCCCCCCCCCCGTCACGGCACAGTTAACGCGCTCGGCGCGCGTCATGTCGGCTCCGCCGCGCGACCTTTGACTTCGACCCGTTCTCCGCGCCAGCGTTCGGAAACGATTAAACCATAACCACCGTTGCACACGACACTGTATCGTATATTGCGACTGCCAGAAAGGAGAAAAAATAAAAAAGACGTCCAAATAGTAAAAAACAATCGGACTTCTAATGAATGCGTGTGCCGTACGCGCGATTATTGCTCAATATTGTGGTATTGTATACAAGGCAGGACGGCAGTCGGCGAGAACGCAACAAGTACGTCCCTAATTATTATCTCGGACGTTTTGCGCGCAATTTTCTACTCTCCCCCTCCACATGATCCTTGCTCGCGGCATCGCTTTATTCCGCCTGGTCGAGGAACAACGGACGCGCTGCCATTGGAAAAGCTCGGAATTCGTAATAGAAACGTTTCACCGTAATTAGCACGTTATTTGTCCGTAGACGAAATACCTGCAGGTGGGGTCCTACGACCAGCGGCGGATTTCGAATGGTTAAAAGTGGAAATCGTTTAAAAGCATAGTATACAACGTTCCCTCGCGTCTGCTCGCGCGTTATTCGTTTACCCAATGTACACCGAACGAAAACGCGATTTTTGCATATGAATACTTCAATGCTACAATAATATGTGCGCCATTGTCACTATACTTTCGGATTCGAGTACACCGTCAAGTTTTTAAATATAAAACGCGCGCTCGGTTTTATTTGTTCCATCTAACGGTTCGCTCATTTGAACGAATAAACAAAAACTAATATTACTTTTAAAACGCTAAAATCTCTCTTCGCTCTTTGTTTGAATTTCTTTCGTTCATGAAAATCTTACATCATATATGTTGTACGTGTCGTGTGATTCGAAAAATACGAAAGTAAAGAACTTTGAAATAAATACTGTGCATTTAAAGGGTTTAATCATTTTTAAGAATTTTTTTTTTTATGTAGAATTATACATATGTAACATATACATAAATGTTACATATGTATGATTCTACATAATAGTATTCGTTATAACATATACATAAATGTTATAACTAATACTATTGTTTAATTGCAATTCGTGTCGTACATTTTTTATAGTATAAAAAAACAGTAGATTTAAAATAAGTTACTAAATTAATAGTAATTGCTTGGTTCCTTTTTTTTTTTTTTTTAATTACTAAACAACGATTCCATCTCGTCATAAATGGCATAGAACAACGGTTCTCAAACTGTGGTACGCGAAAGAATATAAGGTGATACGCGGAAGGCCGTGGTAGAATAGAAATTCAAATTTTGATATTTAACTCTTGTATTAATTTAAAAACAATAATACATTTTTATAAATAAATAAATAATAATTTTACTGTAATATTTTACTGCCTTTATGTTTAAAATAAATGTATTTTATTATGTAAAGTTTGTATGGTTCTATATATTAGTGGTACGTTACTGATTGATAATATATTCAAGTGGTACGCAAAAAAAAAAAGTTTGAGAACCGCTGGCATAGAATATTCTTAAATCGAATGCTTATAATTTTATTAAATTTACTATTTGAATAAAATCCTGAAAAGCTATATCAAGTTCTGGTTGAATTGTTTGTGCTGCATAATTTCTTTCTTTAATTCCTACTACATTCAAAGGATATTATTATAAAAGAAACTGTATTTATCATAAAATAATATTAATTTCTAAATAAAAAATTATACGAACAAGGAAACAGTATAAACTTTAAGGCCACGCCTAGGTCAGTTAAAAATTAGTGAAAAAAGTATTTTATAGCTATGTCTACCTTATTTATTTATTTTTTGGTGAAAACTGAAGGATAGTAAGGTATTTTTTTATAGTTCTGGTATTGTTTATTTAAATACTTTAAAATCCAAAGAGACTTCATAGTTGGAATATTCGTGTAAATTAAAATTACTATTTAACGACTTCTGGTTTCTATGATCCGATTAAAGCGAAATATTCGAATAAGTATAATATTAATTGACCACGTTAAAAGTCGTAAATTAGTTGGTAAAATTAAAGTAATAAAAAAATATTTGCAGCTCAATATTTTCGTACAAGACTAATATAATATAACGCTAGTAAATTAATATAATCCAAATGAAGTTTGGTCGATTGGTTTTATTGATTTTGTCCTAGTAATTTAAACTTGTAACCATGTCATGCGTTCAATATATAAGATTAGTTTATTTTATAAAAATAATACACTTAAGAACCCGAAACAAAGAAGTTATTAATTTGTAGTTTCCAGGTGCTGCCTAAGACTTATTTTTAATATTATTTTTAATTATTTTAAATGGCCTTATTCTACTGTATGCTCGTAACACTATTATATTATGTTATTAGGAAATTAGAAGAAATAAAAATCAACTACAATTGTATTCTAAATTGAATTATGTAGTACAACGAAAAAAATTAATCGAGACAAAAATTGTAAAATGCACGAACAAGAATAAAATAGATTATACTTAAACGAATTAAAAAAAGTTTCGGTTCATAAGTATGAGTTTATTTATGCGTAACCTTATATGTATAAAATAATCATTCAATTAATTTCATTTTGTATTATTTTGTGTATAATGATTAGAGGTCAGATTTTATGAATTTACATATTAATTTCTATTCTATACAGTTAAATAGAAGTTCACAATTCACAGAAAAAAAATGCATAAAAAAAAACCATATTTTAGGGCTTAGGAAATACATTTGAGAATATTTTATAAACATTTTTATTTTTGAAGGTTTTATTTTAATTAATAATAATAATTAAAATATTTTTTAAAAAAAAATAATTTACTTTACCTATTATTTATCTGCACATCCATGCACGTATTACGTACATCGGCATTTTGATAATATTGATCAACAAATACAATATTCACAATATGAGTTATTTTTATATCCTTCTAGGTTATTTTGATATAGAAATACGACATCATTGTGCATCACTAGATATCAGAGGTAATCCACGTACAGTCACAATTTGCATTAAAACCGTAAAAAAAAATTATTGTAAATCAAAATAATAATAAAATTTAGTAATTGATAAATTTAAACCAAGTAATGCAATTTTTTTTTTTTTTTTACTGAATATTGAAAGAATATTTGTATTTTTAAAGACATAAATTTGGTATTTTTAAAGAATATTTAGAGAATTTATTGCCTTTTTTAAACGACATATAAACATCATATTTTAAGGATTTTAAGAGAATATTAATCCGATCTCCAGTAATAGTAAACCATGTCTCATATTATTTTCGTTGAACTGAACCCAAAAATATTGAATTATTGAATTACTTTTATATATGTTCTGTACTCGCTATGTATCTGTGAAGTAAACAAATATGTTAAAATAAAAATATTAAATAAAATATATTTTTTCTTCGTTTTGTACATCACTAGTAACACATAATGTATTTTTATATATGTTACGAGCAATATCGGAAAATGTACACATTGCTCGACCAATTTGAACCTTGAGTATAAATAAATAATTACAAAGTACAAAGTTTCTTGAAAAGCACGAAAACTCGACTAGTTAATTAAATTACTGATTGTTAAGTATAGGAACACAAATGAATATTAATTTTCTTACCATTTCTTGGGAGAGAATTTGAACCCGTTGTATACGAACTTGTGTTTATGAAATCAAAAATCAAATGATTCACACGTGCGATTCATTATTGATTCATGATTACGGCAATATGAAAAAACAGCTGTAGTCAATTTCCACCAAAATTGATCCATAATATATAAAAGATGTGTAATTTGCACCAAAATCTTTGAAATGCAATTGTAATTTGCCTCAAAATAAGCATATGTAATTTGTACCACCCGATTGTAAGAAATTGGAATTTTAATTTGTACCGAAATTAAAATCTATTATTTTTTCAATATTATCTCGATAGTACCATCGTACACATTTCTAGATTTCGAAATATAAGAAGCTAATAACACAGAATTTTAGGTTTTAGATTCTGAACCGTTACTTAATTTACTTACACCGAGGTATATACGGTATTTCAGTATTAATCTCAAAGCTAACTTATAAGAATAGTCAATAATTTATGATAACAGGATAATAATATCATAGTCTTAGGCAAAATATACAATTTTAAAAGACAGTGTAGTCAGTATTCTACAATATTTTTCCTAACCATTCTATAGTAACTTGGCGTCACGGTTTCATAGGTGTAAGCAACTTACCTGTGTTCTGTTTGGGTTTGGTTTTAATTGATTTCTGTCATAATAGTTGGTCATGACTTTAAGTACATTTGTTTATTATTTTTCTAGATTATCGAAAGTTGTATCTTGAGCCGTGATTACTAGATCTACTGCATATAAAAAGTGTACGTTGACATAAATATAATATACTATGGACAGATTGATTATTTCCGATTTAATATTTCTGTTTTATTTATTTTTTTTTTTCTGAAAACGCAGTTCAAACAGTAGCGTTTATTCATACATACGTTATACACATGTACATGTATATGCGTATAATATTGTATTCGCAAATATGAATTCGGACTTTTGAAACTAGCCACAGATTTGTCGAGGAAAAAAAACAGTTGACTGTAAAAAATATATTACCTGAGTGTATCATATGTGTAATCATTATACAACGTTGAAGCACTACGACATTATTATTACTATTAATAATGACCGTCCGTGTTAGTCATACAAAACTGTGTTCCGTGAAAATTCCAATACCGTAAAAACGGTGAACAATACGATTAGACAAAAGACGAATTAACGTTTTGGATTTGAATGCAGACCACTGTAATTAATTTAGTTTTAATGTCAGCACCGCCTGGTGTCAAGCAGTCGTTAAGCTACAACACACAGGACGGTACAACGCTACGCTTTATTCCATACGAATGTCTACGTAGGATTTATAACAAAGTATATCTAATGCAGATATTA